ACCGTGCCAGACGCTATACCAACTAAGCCACGGAACGAACCAACGGACCTCACGAATTCTTCTATGTGCTTGCGTCGTGTCTTTGTATTTGGTTTTTCAACGACTTTTTAGTCGTAGCGCCATCTATGAGAAATCTATGACAGATTTATCACACAGTTAGTACCTTTACAGCTACCAGTCCTGGCGAGAGATGTCGCTATTCACTGTGTTAATTAAATTCAATAAAAATTTAATTAATACTTATATTTTGTTTCACCAGAAAATGTCATCATTATAATTCTATATCCCACTGCTTGGGATTTGTCCTTGAGACTTGTTCTAGAGCAGGAGATCCTGCGGCAAGATGGACGGACGACTTGAGAAAGGTAGCCGGTAACGGCCGGATGCGGGCGGTATAGGATCGAGAGAGTTGGCGTGTTCAAGGGTAGGCTTAGGTATGTCCACCAGTGGATACGTATAAAGATGATGATGGTGGGACGGGTTTCCTCTAAGGCAGCGAACAGATTGACTGCATGTTTGCAGTTATTGCGTGAAGACGTAATCAACTTCATGCAGTCGAAACTCAACCGCATGCAGTTTAGACTTCAACTTCAAGCGTCGATGTGAACGATAATACGAGAATCAAAGGTAGTAATTGACATTCTTATGATATATAAATAAATACGTAGGTACCATCAGTTTGGGATCCAGTATTTCTTTTGATGAAAAATCCCAAACAGACTTAAGACTGTAGTACTAATTAATATCCGCTCACGCGATACATGCAGCCGTAGACGCATACCACACCTAGAGGTGCCGGTGATGGTTTTATACCGATTTATCGGATATCGAAGTTATAACAGGTAAAAGAACTAATATTAATTGCTGTTTCGGTAACTACTCTAGCAAACCATAAAGATTTTAATGCCTGGGTCTGTCATTTAAAAAAAATAAACAACTTCAAAAATACATCACGACAATCGTGTTTGTTATTGTTTGGGCTGGTGATTTCGGTGTTTAGTTATTGGAAACATACCGTAAGTAGCGTTTTTTACGTTTACCCTGAGTACAAATGTTTATAAACTATACTTTAAGTAGTAATTTCATGGTAAACATTAGAACCACTCAAACGGAATATTATCATATTTATCCAAGTACACCAAACATTTCATTAGTGCTTTATAAGTGCAGGATTTGCGGTGTATTACTGCATTTTATTTGAGATGTTTTTGCTGGTAGTACGGAGGGTATTTATTTAGCAATGCAGAATAATAATTTTTATTTATAAAAACTTGTATTTAAACTGAATGCTTTCCTAATTTGCGAAACCAAATAGCCGCCATTTTGCGGTAGGAGGGGCGCATCGCGTGAGCGGATAAGTTTTAATGTATTCTAATTTCCATTATTAATTAATAATAAATTGAACTTAATAAAAGTTCATACTGATAAAATAAAATAATTTGTTAAACATAATGTAGCGTGAATTGGAATTATTCTTTGTAACATTAAAAATAAGGTTTTTAATAACATTTGTAATTATTGTGAAAAGATAGAGTAGTTTGCATTAATACTAGACATAATTGATTGAGGACTGTACCACCTCCGTCAACCGTGACCATCTAAACGTTTGTTTGTTCGAAAAAACAAAAACATGCGATTTAAATCCGGAAAAATAATTTCATTTCCTAAATAAATATTTATAAAAATAATCGTGTATGTTGGACTAACAGACAGCTGCGTAATTTATAACAACTAAGTTGTTCGTATTAAAGAGTCACGCTCAGAAATGTCGCGAAATTAGTAAATCTCAGGTATTCACGCGTATTTTGATATATTACCGAATAGGTTTGTGTTCAACGGTAACCACACTTACCAATAGAAGGTCTGGCAATAACAATGGGAAATTTCCCAGCGTACTGCGACACCAGATCTTCTGTCAGAGACTTCGTGTATGCGTACGAGTTTGGCTGAGGCTCCATTAATCTGAAAAGGAAAATATTTACAATAAAATACAATAATTATGTAGCACACGAAGTCGACTATTTAGCTGAATGATTATTAGTAGCAGTAAACACCCTTATGTTACCTTACCCATTTCTGCCGCCAGCAGTAATGCTAGCATTACTGCTACATTGTGACTTGTCAACTTAGACAGGCGCAGTGGCAGCGTCTTTGCTATTTAAAGCTCTGAGTGGCACTGTCGCCTTTCAAAGTAATTCTATGGACAGGTACGTCTTTCACCACCAAGCGCTCGACTTGTTTGTCCCGTCACAACATTGTTACACATTTCCTATGTGCAACGACCGTAAAAACCTAAAAACTGTATTCTTAAATGCTTATTGAATTGATATTCAATTGTTTTTATGTGAAATTACTCATATTACGTCATTGATTTACAATTATATGGACGTCGGGTCCGCGCTAAAAAGTGTCCGGACTTATAGGGCGTTAAAATCGTATACAGAGCGTCATTCACGCTTTAGTCTTCGCTTGTTCGATTGACAGCGAAGCAAAATTAGACAGTACTGCGATGACATTACAATTTAAAATCAACGTTTTAGCTTTTTCATATTCCTTTACATGTCACTACGTTTAAATAGGTTGACTTGGGACATTTTTTTCGTGGTTTGTGTATTAGACCCGTCGTCCATTTATTTGTAAGTCAATGTATTACGTTATCATTATTCCGGACGAACATGTCGTGCGCCTTGTGGTAAAAGACACGAGCCTGAAATCGCAACGATTAGGGGGAGAAGGCTCTGCCACTGCGCCCTTCACCCTGAGACCTAAGTAGAGAAGTCACATGCGCCTGTAATTTCACCAGCACCCTTACCCTTCAAAACCGTAACACAGTAATGCTGACATTACTGCTTGGCGGCAGAAATAGGTAACGTAGCAGTACTTCCCTGGACGAACATTTTCACAAGCTCTAATTTCTTAAAACTGCTCTCTGCAACTAACTTTTTACTTTGTTTAAAAAACAACTAAAATTTCAAGATTTATGTGCAGTGTGTCTTTATGTCGTGTGTAATGTGAGTGAGAGTGTAAATGGAATGTTTGTGTAACCTAGTATGTACACACAGATATTACTACGAAGTAGTCTACGCCACATAAAGTTTAAATTAAAATAAGCCAGCATTTTTCGTATATTCACTCAGTAGTGACAGCGTAATAAACTTACATTTCGACTCATCCGTAGAACAAAGATCTATGTGCAAGACAACTTGTTCTCAGGACATAGTACAATTCATTCGTTCTTCATCGCTGTGGATGTCAGAAGGAATGTTGTTCGATTTTATATTTCCGAAACAAATTAAGATATCCTATAAACTCTCAAAACGCCTTTACATAGGCCTTAGTTTGAATAACGAAATTATTCTCGTAACGTGCTTATCCTCTTTTCGTCATAAAACCACATTGGACTCTGTTCTTTGGATGAGTCGATTTGCTGCACCCTCTGTTTTCACGTTTACAAAAATAGATTGTGTTTATATGTTCGCGTTGCCGCCTTTGTGTTGTTCAGGATATAGTTTTCTCAAATAGTGGAACTCCTCAGAACCCCCCCCCCCCCCCCCCCACACACAACGCCACTGATTCCACAATGAAATAGAAAATAAAATTATTATATTGTCACTTCTGTGCATAGCGCCTATCAATTTAGCAATAGCAAAACATTATCAACCAAAAAGAACATATTTATTTTATCAGGCGTTTCTCAAGTTGTACAAAAATCTACGACGTAATGAATTAACAGAATGGTTTTTAATTAATTAATTACTAAGTGTAGGTACTATATAATAGTTTTATTATAACGCGTAAACGGTAAAACACTTTTCTTGTTAACTTTATGAAATAAAGGTTGATAAGTGTGATAATTTGAAAACAATGGAGCATTGTCTTATAGACATTATTACAGATGATGACAAAGCGTATATTGCAGTTAAATTAGATGAATGGGAAAAATGATCTCACGCGCATTAACAAACGCACAACTAGGTAACAAAGAAAACTGTTTGTTTTTGCATCTATTTTTAAGACATTTCTTTTGTTTAAAAGTATGTATTGGTTTGCAATAATCTATTATAATCAGATTGGGTAAGAGGTAAGAATATTTTGAACGGATTGTTGCAAAAACAAGCGATTCATTCTGTCTCAGAAAAAAGTTTTAGGAGACTGATATCATGACCGTGCCATCACAGTACATTTACTCAATTATTTTGTATAAATAATAAAAAAATATAGATAATAAAAAAAGAAGATATTCATAATATTAAATTTAGAACTAAGTCCAAACTCATGGCACCACGATGTCGTTTAATAAGGTAAATTATTTAGATTCTTGTACAGGTTTGTATATTACTTACTTACTATATTATTGAGTTTTACGTGCATTGTAATGAAAAACGTATTACTGCTCAAGTTAATTCAAACTTGCTAACAGTATTCTGATTGCTGTCCATGAATAATTATACTTTTGCCCCTGTTGAATTCATGAAATTTCAATATCCTTCAAGTAAAATTTATAGGCAGGATATTTATGTTTTTTTAAATACGTTACTAGATTATTTATCAGGTATTTTTCCACCAGTTCCACATACTTGGGCTCCATGTGATTTAAGAGCGGGTCATCCATCCATGAACAACAATGGACCACGTCCTGCGGCCGATGGGGGGCGGGGTACAGCTTCTCTTCTAAGACTGGTAGTTCGCAGCGGCAGTACGATGTTGATGTATGGAGAAACACCTATACGAAAAAAGAAAGAAAAACAATTAATGCATACCTTTGTGAATACATAACACAATGATATTACAATTGCGCGAAACTAGCACTTGATTATGAGTCTTCATTTCGGTAATGTCGTGGTAACAAAATTTGCGCGATTTACGGGAATCTATTGTTATCAGTCCGTAGAAAAATATGAACGTTGTAGTCATGAAAATAAAATACTGTATTGCTCATTTGTCCGCAACACTTTAGAGTATGCCAGCCAAATTTGGAATCCACGTTATCACATTTATATCTCGCGGCTAGACAATATACAAAAGTTTATTCATTTTCTGTGCTATCGTACACAGGACTGTTACAATTCTGCCAAATATTTCAATCTCTGTAAGAAATAGTTAGGGTATGTTCTGATAAGTCCAACAGTTTTTAAAAGAGAATTTTGTGGTCTATCTTTCATTATTTAAAACCAATATTTGACTATTTATTACTTAGCCCGGTTTTTGTTAGCCGACGGCGATATTAGGCATAATATTTGTGTAGCAATGGCCATGGTGACACGGTCGCGCAAACAAGGATTTAATAAATTTGTCAATTATTTAAACGCGGTTGTGCCACGTAATTGGATTGCTAATTCAGTGCTTGGTAGTAAATAGAATATAATATGTCTGCAATATATTTGCGTGCCCAATATTTGCATAGCAAATGGTGACATGGCCGCGCAAACACGGATAAATAAATCAGTCAACAATTTAATCGGTTTATTTGTGATTTGGTCAATATTAGTTAAATAAAAGTACGTAGATATCAAAATATTATAAGACAGAAAAGCATTGTAAGCGATAATAATATTTAATAAAAATGGAAGTAAATTATTTTTCTACCCCGCGAACCCAGAGACGGTTGACGGCAGAGCTTGTGATGAATATTTTTATATGCAGTTTATTTTCCCACCCTCCCTCCGCATAAAATGATTAAGACAAGACCCAAGTAGAAGATGACGAGGATCTCGACGAGCTGGTAAAATTAAAAAACGATTTAAATTGACTGTATAGTAAATTGGTGGTTCGGTGGTTTCTTATAGAAGTTCAATTCAAAATTGAACGTCCTTTTTGACCTTTTTGAGTTCATACAAAAATATCGTTAACTTGTGGTAGGTATGGAATAACACGCATTGGTTCAAAATAGACGCATATGTAGTGTCCCTTGACGAGCGTTTAGTTAATGTTTTTAAACTCATATTGAATTATATTACAAAAATTCTCTTGCGTTCGCAACACACAACTACAGTCAGAAACGCTCCCACGAGGCATCCTTAGGGGCTGTTGATTGCTCCACCCTCGGCCGAAGAATGAGATATAGGATATTTTGCAGTTGGCCGCTGATGGCCTTGACTGCGCCACCGGAAAAAAGTGCGAGCTGAAGGCTCATAACCCGTAAATAAACCTAAAACTAAGTAGCGGGCCTGAGGGCGCCCAAGTGGGCACGGACCTCGGCTCACGGCGCTACTGGAGCCTTCCGCCAGAAGGGCGTGCTGTGGGATAGAATCTACCACTGTACATGCTGAAATGAAGAGCTGTGGGTTAGTTCAGAATGGTTGGAATATTTATGCCCCGCTACCCCTAATATTACTATTGTGGAAACCCGAAAATACCCATAATAAAGGAGATGACGCAAAATCAATTGTTCATTCATTATACAACCCCTGTTGTTATACCTATATGTTATACCTACCTGTTGTTATATAATTATTTCCATGTCCTAAAGACGTAAAAACGTAAGTTTTCATAAGAACGTAATCTGGTAAAATATTATTTGTTTCTAATAAATGTTTAGCGAAATTGGACCTGTCTAGGTGCTTATGCCTAAACGAAGAAACATGCTCTTTATATCTAGTTATGAAGTTACGGCCTGTTTGACCTTTATAAACACTGTTACATGTGTCATAGGTGAGCTTTTAAACTCCCGATTTCTTTCCACCTTTGAACAACATCAAATTGTGCTGTGATCTTAGTAATTATCACTGCCTTTAGTCTTATTACAATTTATTATAGCGACATCTTTAGTCAGTTACGCGAACAAATTAGTAAGTACAAGGATTAGGCCCAAGGAAGAAAAAAACAATGGAAGTACTTTAGCCTCGACTACTATCAAAACTGGTGTCGCCAAAACTCACAAATTATTAATTTGAAACATTACAAAATCTTACTATTGATTGGTCGTATTTTCAAATTTAAAAAGAAACAACAAATTCTGGACTGTTAATATAATTTAAACTTCGCCCTGTTGGCATATTTATGTTGAAAGTTCAAAACCATCAATATCTATTATTGCAAAATACAACTTTTTGATATTATAAAATGAAATTTCAGTCAATGTGCTGCCATCTAGCGGTTAAATGCTGAACGACGACGAATTGGAGCTATGAATTTAGTACTCCAAATAAGAAGCGACCATATTGCAGGGGTATAAGCTTTACTGTCGGTTCTTGTAGCAAAATAATTATTGCGATAAACAGAAAATTGAAAACGGGTAATGTTTTTTTCGGCTATCATTTAACACTGCAAAACATTTTATTAGGATTTTAGAGAATTTGCACGAAAGAATGACACAACCATACCATGCAAAGCAAATTATGGCGGATTTCTGAGCTCGAATAGGTCTTTCGAGACGTACAGTCAGCACGCGTCATACGCTAATTAACTACTGTATTAGTATTAGTAAACACACACAGTGTTCGATCTTTGTATTAATAATTATGACAAACTAGTGGAGTAATTTCACAAAAAAAAATTGAATATCAATTCAATAAAAATTTAATTAATACAGTGAACAGCGACATCTCTCGCCAGGACTGGTAGCTGTAAAGGTACTAACTGGGTGATAAATCTGTAATAGATTTCTCATAGATGGCGCTACGACTAAAAAGTCGTTGAAAGACCAAGTACAAAGACACGACGCAAGCACATAGAAAAATTCGTGAGGTCCGTTGGTTCGTTCCGTGGCTTAGTTGGTATAGCGACTGGCACGGTATGCAAGAAGACGTCGTTTCGAATCCGACCGGATCGAAGGAATTTTTTCTGAGTGTTCGATCTTTGTATTAATAATTACTGTATTTAATGTTCTGTGGTTAGGCCGGACGAGAGTTATCTTTTGAGTTGTGAGTCACGTATTATGAATCGCCTAATTTATACTACATTCCGTTTCATATAAAATTCCGGTTTGCGCCACATGATGACGCAAAATAGCTGTCTGCCGCCTCACGCGCATAATTACGCATTTTTCCGTCAGTGTGACTGCTTGTGCGGGCGGGGTCCTTATCATAAATAGCGTAATCGGTATTTAATGGAAATTAAATAAAAAAATAAATGTGGGAGTACTAGATCCGAACGCATGCATTATTATGATTGGTGAACATATTAATAAAAATATTATGAAAAAACTATAACCCAGTTTTAGAATATGGAAATTGTCTTATGATATTTCTGCTATGCATCGTTAAGATAAGTTCCGATCACTCGAACACGTAAACTAATTTTAACTGCAGGAAATTAAACCTATTTTTCCGGATTTAAATCGCGTATATTAGTTTTTTCAAACAAACCGACGTCACGGTTGACTGAGGTGTCACCTCATTACCATTAAATCCGGAAAAATAGTTCATTTCCTATGTGCAACAATCGCGAAAACCTAAGAACTCGATACTACAACTTTTCTTTATATAATACCAAGTGACGGGACGAACAAGTCGTGCGCCTGTTGGTAAGCGACATGTCAATCCATAACAGTTGCAGTGCCATTCTAAGCTTTCAATCGCAAAGATCTTATGGGTAGTGCCACTGCGCCCGTCACCCTGAAACACAGCCAGCCTTCTAAGCCGAAATATAGTAATGCTGACATTACTACCCTGGACGAACTCTACTGCTGCTAAAAACGACTTACTCCACTTAGTACTGCTGTGTTAGGAATTCCCTAAGTTAATTACTACTCATAAGTACTTTGCAATGAGGTGACACAAATTAGTTGGAAGTTTGTTGGATCCGTGTCCATCATAGAACACTTAGATTGAGTTTTTTTAAACAACTTCAAAACCGGACGAGGTTCTAAATTTGTCGGTATTTTTTGTGTGCATTCGATGATTCTTTTTTTATTCTAAAAAGGGTACCTTGGTAGTGGCCCCATTGAAATTTGAAATATTCCATCTTCAAAAGTGGCAATTTAATGGATGAATACTATAGAAATACCCTAGTTTGCCACCCTTAGAGATGGAATATTGTCTTCAAATTTAAATAGGACTAATACAGATGTACACTCTTTCCAACAAGAAAAGAATCATCAAAACTGGCTCCCAAATTCCAGAGTTATCGCGTAACATACATACACAAAAATACCGTCGAATTTAAATAAATAATAAATTAAATAACGCACACACTCAACATAGCCCCGCACTAGGGAAACCCTGTGTCGCGGGTGCCATGGACACACACATAGACAACCACAAATTACACCCAAACTCACGAGAGAAATAATTGTAGGCCATTCAGCTATTTCTCCCGGCCCGGGAATCGAACCTGGGACCTCTGCGTGGCAGTCTAGCAAGGTAACCGTTCGGCCACGGAGGCAGTTGTATCTGTATGTATTGCATATTTAGTAGTATCCGCTATCGCGGTCAAGCAGAGAATGACCGTCGAAAGAAATAAAATCAGAATGCGAAGGAAAATGGAACAATTCAAAATTTTAAATTTAAATATGAGTAGAAGAAGAAAAACGATACGATACGAATGGATAGAGACGATACAAAAAGGTGGGGTGACGGTGTAAGGAGGTCACACCGTCACAACCTTATTGTTATATGTTAATATTTATGTATAATTCTAATAATATATGTGTTTATTATTATTATTTATACGTTTACTTTATTCATGAGTTGTGTATTTATTTAAAACGCTTTCATTACAAGATATTCTTTGGCTGCACCCCCGTTTCGAACTCTTAAATTGTCTATCCTAAGGTTGCCTGGAAGAAATTGCTACTTAGCAATGAGGCCGCCTGTTGTACATTGGCTTACTCTGTGATACTTATGTTACTGTTCTGTGTTGCCATTGTAATTTTAATGTGCAATAAAGACTATTTCATTCATTCAGTCGTTTCGTTTAGTCGAATTGAGAACCTCCTCCTTTTTAAAGTCGGTTAAAAAAACTCCTTCCTAGCCTATAGTATTTTCTTTATCATCTTGCCAGTCCAGTATTGCCGTATATACCACTGTTTCTGTTAAATATACGTCTTATTTAGTTCAGTTGATATTGTACAGGAATTGAAATTGAAATTGGTGTATGTAAAGGACCTATTGATGATACAGCACGAAAATTTGTAGGAATCGTATTTTGACGCCGTATAATAATCAATGTATATCCTCTATATATTTTTTCCAAAGTTTTAACACTTTCACGCGGAACCAACCAAAGTAATTTGAGGTTGTATTCTATATATTATATAGTGGGAAACATTTGGTTTGTTTGGGAAACGTACCTCCAATTTCTTCATTCCTTCAGCCAGTTCCAAGACTCTTTTGGTTCCCACGGTGTTCAAATTGACAGCATCTCGGAGCGGCATATCAAATCTGTTGAAGAAATTAACGTTATTTTTCTATAATAATAGTTAATCTTCCATCGGGGATTGGGCAGACGGTCGAAAAGTCTAGGTCCTACGTTAGCGGAATACCATTTATCCCTATCGCGTACGTTACGCATACCATTTGTTATTTTATTATTATTTATATTCGGCTGGGGGGAGAAAACCCAGCTGATATCCCTGCCACTACAATGAGGCGCTCCAGAGTCTTGATACTGATCGTCTCTCCCGAACGGAAACTGCGTATTTACCGATTCGAGGCTCATAATTATTGCGATACACAACGGGCCGATCGGATACTTTTGACATTTCTAAACAGAACAATATTCGATTTATTTTTTGATAGTTTTTGATTATCCGCTTGCGCATACAACTGGGATGAAATTATATCTAACGTAACCCAAACACGACCAGTAGCTGCAAAGGTATCTAACTGGGTGATAAAACTTTCATAGATTTCTCATAGATGGCGCTACGACTAAAAAAATCATTGATAAACCAAATACAAAGACAGGACAACAAGCACAGAAAAATTCGTGAAGTCCACTCTTCTGGCACGGTCTGCTCTGTGTCGGTTCGAATCCAGCTGGATCGAAGGAATTTTTCCTGAGTGTTCGATCTTTCTATTAATAATTACAAAAATAATTATTCTAAAATACTTTATAGGACTGTTGTTGAAATCTAAGTCATCTGTTTATTGTTAAGTTGTTTATATATTTATGTATCAGAAAATTCTTGCCAGTTTACAGATTAACCAATACGCCCAGCAAGATTTTGGATTACAGTATTAATTATAAAATAATAATAATGTCAATAATAATAAGAATAATAAAAGCACAAACTGTACAATAATATAAATTCACAAAATTTACAACAGCAGCTATGAGTTACGACCAACTTCATAACTCATTCAATAATACAACCCGCGTCGCCGCGTTGAAACCCTGTAGAGTACTCGTTTTGTTTGGCATTGCAAAAAGGTTGCGTGCGCGCCGTCCTAAGCGGCCTACAGTGCGCAGTGTAACGGTAGACGAAGGATTATCTATACTGTGTCGTAAGAGCAGGCAGTAATGGGTAGTTAAGAATTCGTAGGTTTTCTCGATTGTTACACATAGGAAATGAAACTATTTTTCCGGATTTTAATCGCGTATAATTGTTTTGACAAACAAAAGCAGGAGTTTACAAGCTTGACTGTGAGTGCGATCTCTCTTATATTGGACAAACGAAGCGACGAACGAATGACGAAGCTTATGTCAAACAACGTCGCGTAAACTAGTCTGCAGACCAAACCGTATACATTCAATGAAGTTTGACAAACCCCAGGTCCTTGCAAAAGAAGTCCGTTATCTACCCAGAATGCTGTGAGAGGCCATTGAAATTAAAAAACATCCTAATTTCAACAGGGAAGATGGTTTCTCCGTACCACAAGTTTGGGATCCAGTATTTCCTCTGATGAAAAATCCCAAACAGACATAAGACTGCAGTACTAATTAATATGTTTTAGTTTATTCTAATTTATATTAATAATTCATAATAAATTGAAGTTAATAAAAATTCATTCAATAAAATAATTTGTAAAAAGTAATGTAGCGTAAATTGGAACGTTTTCTTTGTAAAATTAAAAATAAGGTAGGTATTTAATTAATAACTATTGTAACTATAGTGAAAAAATAGGGTGGTTTGCATTAATATTAAACCTAACTGGTTGATGACTGCACCACCTCAGTCAACCGGAGACGTTGGTTTGTTTGAAAAAACAAATATACGCGATTTAAATCTAGAAAAATAGTTTAAATAGAAGAAATTTATATTGACGGCAATAATGACAGACTTTACTTGTTCATTCTTTGTTAATGTCTCACAAGTGCAGTATTTCATATTAAGTAATAATTCCTATTTTTCTACACGTTTTTAGTTAATTTTAAAGTTATAAGTACCTATATTATAATTCTAGTGTTAACTAACATTTGTACTTTCGTGCCATCCCATCTTATAAAGCCGTTCCAACTGAAAACTAGAATTCCATACATGTATTGTTTTGTTTTGTTCTGTATAAGTTTTGATAAGCTGAATAAACGTGTATGAGGAGATTAAACGGAGTGAATATAAGATGAGATATCAAACAGGCATATCTTCTTCAAGGAGGTCTCGGAAGAACCAATATGAAAAACGCCTAAATGTTCTGATTAGTACCCCAAAATGAATTCCATTGTTTTTTTTTTACTATACGGAATAATATAATATTTATAATAATAATAACGCACACACTCAACATAGCCCCACACTAGGGAAACCCTGTGTCGCGGGTGCCATGGACACACACATAGACAACCACAAATTACACCCAAACTCACGAGAGAAATAATTGTAGGCCATACAACTATTTCTACCGGCCCGGGAATCGAACCTGGGACCTCTGCGTGGCAGTCCGGCATGGTATCCGTTCGGCTACGGAGGCAGATAAAACAAAAAACAAAAGAATCACAACATTTCTCGAAGTACAGGGAATTTTCTAATTGATAAAACATAGAATATAATCGGCTTTGTTTGACATGCAAAATACATACAGTATTTGAAACGAAAAACTGAAAAAGAGTCAATTCTAATTAAAATAAAAAAGCACGTCATAAGGCTCCATGACTATGTTAATGGTATATATTTAACGATCACTTTAAATTTGCAAAAGCAGCAGGCAAAAAAATCTAAAAGGTCATATTGTTTTTTAATGATTGATCCTTTTTTTCTGAGACAAAATAAATTAAATCAATCGATATTTCATTCTATTCAGAGCTACGCAAAAATGTTGATTTGTATAAAGTAACTTTGATAGTTTTATGTTGGGTCTCAAAACTAAGAAAATTACAAATAAAATTCAGATTATTGTCTTTAAAACAGAGTAAATGTTGGTTATATTTGTGCACTAATATTATATTAATTATAATATAACGACCTGAAGTGCAAACAAACTGGCTTCTGGCACTCGGCGGCCGCTGCCGCGACACGCTCCCTTCGCTCGCTCGGCTCGTGTTGCTTTTTCATATTTATACTAACCTAACTTTTGTTTGGTATCCGGGGGAATCTGCTTACAGATACCCCGGGCCCACGGGGGCAGAGCTCATGTGGGGCTGGGCTGAACCCTGAAGGAGAGCAGCCCGATCGCACTAAAGCCCTGGAGTGTTCCTCTCAAAAAAAACATTTAAGCTAAAGCTGCGGGAGCATCTGTTAAATTTGCAAAAATGGGGGATATGAGTGGCTAGGGTATTTGCGGTTGTCTGTCCACGTACAGGGTCGGGAGCGCGTCGTGCTTGACATTTAAGATTTAATTTCAACTCTGTGCCGCTTGCGATAGGAACGGTCCAAGGTCCAAGGTTTGTTATGCTCTTGGCTGTACCTCGTTTCAGGACTGCAAATAGTGTATTATGTGTGGAGGTTGGGAGGAAGAAGTTTGAAAATTGAAAATTAATAATTTAAAAATGAAATCAGATTTTTGTTGGATTGCGAGTGGCGTCTCTATCCTATAGGGTCCTGGCAGAATACCAGCGTCGCGGGCAGCCGCGCCATTTATGCTGAGCCAGCGCCTTTTTCACTGCCATGACTTCCAAGTGTAATATTAGTAGATAAGAATATCATTATTGTTATATATAAGTTAATGCCTACATCATGTATCTGATGTCATGGTGGTGAATAAAGCTTTTATCTATCTATCTATCTATCCTCCTCTCCGCTGTCGGTGGAGGTACGGGTACGCTATTGCACTTATCCGCGCCCCCACCAGCGGCTGGGCTCGCCCTGTATAGCCCCTCCATGAATGGAAGGCGCAACTAAGCAACCAAGATTTATTAAGAGATCAATATCAAAACATAACAAGTTACAAATGTCATCAAATTGTTAAAAGAAAATAGCAATAACAAAATTTTCGAATACTAAATATTAATTTAGTGTGCTTCAATCTAATAATAGTGTTACTTAAAATGCAGTTCATTATTATTATTTGTCCGTAGATTAACTAATATAGACGGACCAATTAATATATAATATCAAACATAAAAAATATCGTTTATTTAAGAAGTGCATACATACAATAGATCAATTATATACTTGAGGATAATATAATATTAACCCTATGTTAATTACATAGCACTAGCCGTTATTCTGTCATGGCCATCATAAATTGGAACATCTAAATTATTTTTAATTAATATTTAAAAAATTGTAGAACAGCCAATTAGGCACTAAATAAATAAAATTGGACACAAGCAACAATTAGACAGAGGAAATAATCAATTTAGTAATAAATTAGTAATTTAAAAAGCATAATACCAAACGTAAACAAATACACATGACAGATATTCAAACACAAGCTGCTACGTAAAGCTTGCGTTCCGAGGTTGATTTTCAAACAGTCATAGAAATCATTTATGTTCTAAAATTGGTATGTTGGTTTGTTGGTATTTGAGACCAGGACCCCGATTCAGAACTCTTCGATATTTTAACCGAACGTTCGATTGCATGTCGTTCTCGAATCGCTTTTCGAGCTATTCAGAACATTCGAGTATAACGTTTGTTAGCGGCCCCATCTACCGACACCGTCCCTACAACTATGGCAGGCCGTTAACAGTGTAATTAAATACGTCACCCTGCCACTAGATGGCGTTGCTTTGTAAATAACATAAGTGATGACTAGGTTTCGTATTTATGATTGTTAATAATTAATATTTATCGATGAATATAGTAAATATAATAATGTTGTAACGATAATAGTAATTAGAATAATAATCGTAAAGATAATTGTAACAACAACAATTCAGTCAAATTGTAACACTGTTGAGTTTAGAATAGAATAGAATAGAATAGAATCGTTTATTTCATGTTATCAATGTCACAATATTACAATTGGAAATACAATGTCAAGGGATAACTATGATCGTCAGTAACAAAATAATAATAATAATAATGAATATAAAATAAAGTAGTATAACTACTGCTTGTCGAATAAAATAAAATTAAAATTGTTTCAAAAGAAACTCATCGACACTGTACAATTCAATATCCAATAAAAGGATTTTTAGTCGGGTACAAAACGTTTCATCGTTTCTAACACTTTTCAGGTCTGTGGGTAGATGTTCGTAGAATCGGGGACCTATTACCCGCGGATTTCTAGTTGCCAGTTCGGTACGGTGGGCAACGGATTTTAGTGTTCCTGCGTTTCGTAACGCTCGGCCTCCGCCCGTACGTCGCTCATAAGTAGCCAAGTTTTGACGCGCATAAACTATTATATCATAAATATATTGTGAGTACATGGTCATTATATTGTATTTCTTAAAAATGTTTCTGCAGGTCTGACCCTTTTTTATGCCTACTATTGTTCTTAGTGCACGTTTTTGAAGAATAAATACCCTAATCGACTCAGTTGAATTACCCCACAGTGTGATGCCATAAGACATCAACGAATGAAAATATGCATAATACGTCTGCCTCAATACCACATTGGAGACAAGAGGACGTAGTTTCCTCAGTGCGTATGCAGCACTTCCAAGTTTTTGACATAGAGTTTGTATATGTGACTTCCAGTTCAAATTTGAGTCTAGCGTTAAACCCAAGAATTTACAGGTGTTATATAATGGAACAATGCAGGTGATAATTGGCTTTGTTATAGAATTTCTTCCTGAGAACAACATAAGGTTTGACTTCGATTCGTTAAGAATAAGTCCATTCGCAGAGAACCACTCACACAGCTGCTCATACGTGCAGGCTAATTTTTCTTCCAACTCGTTGTAGGTTTTAGCACACACTATAACGGTTGTATCGTCCGCAAATAGAATATATTTAAGGGAAAGGGTTGATTTGATTGTCTATATAAGAGGTGCTCTGTCTTTAGTGTAGGATTATTTTTTTCACTGTTTGCGATTATTTGAATAAAAGCCGTTACGCTGCCCGTCCGACTCTTAATTTTCGCCACTCCTACAATACGTTCGACACAAATTCGGATACTATGTATATCGTTATCCAACAGCGTTTACGGAGTTAGTCGGTGAAATAGATTATAAGAAAAATGAAAATCCTTATAAATACATTTTTAAGACTCTAATGACCTAAAACATAGAAATTAGCATTAGAATGCATTAAAATAAATTAATAAAATTGAACATAATCCAGACTTCATTTAAAATAATAACACATTTCCATATTACAATCTTGTTTTGTAAACAATAGGACGTTCGGTAACTTTTTTTTAATTTTTTTTTATTGTGACTCGGCAAAATGACTGCACCGCGCCTGATGGAAAGTGCGAATACAGTCCAGAGATGAGAGTTACGGATGGAAAACACAAATATCTTCACTCCGTCACTATCATTTTGCCGGTCTGGCCAAATGCTTCTTCACACTACGTTTGAAGGACCCGATGTTATAGAGGGGAGGGAATACATGCGCCGGGAGTTGGTTCCACAATTTGATGGTTCGGCATAAAAACGAATTGCCAAACTTTTTAGTGCGGGACGGCATTGAACTGACCGTCCAACTGTGGCAACGCAGTCCGGCACGGGTGGTCCGCTGATGGAAAGGAGAGGAAGGGATAAGGTTGAATAACTCTTCAGAGCACTCACCGTAACTTTCTTTCGTTAGCTGTGTTCTGAATAACGTTTGTAGCCTTTGCCGGTCGAGAAGTTCTAGTAATCGTACGGGTGTGACGACATTTCGGTTCGGTTTCGAATACGACGGTTTGACGTTCGATTCGGGTGTTGGGAATAAAAATGAAAAGAAATCGGTCGGTCGAGTTATCGTAAGGTTCTGAATTGACCCCCAGGTAACTAGTGTCGTATTATCTATCATTTTAATTACAACTTATTACCTATAAACCTCATTACAACTTACCTAACACAAGCAGCACAATGAAATACAATCTCGCACTCTCTCTGTAGAATTTGTCGATCTTCCTCCGAGATTCCCATGTTCTCCACCAGAATATCGCCTTTGATCACTTTTAGCTTTTCGAAACATTTCGGAGATTCTTCATGAAGACGTTCGTATATCTGTAAAAATTTTGGACGAAACATTAGGTACGTAATCTAATCATAATCTAATTCTTAGAAAGTGTAAGCAATGGCTACATAACGTGCAGAAATCACAATGTTGCTAGACTAAATTGTTATTGTAATTGCATTATAATGTAGCAAATCAATAGATAGATTTTACGAGACCTATTATAGTTAGCACGCGTCTGACGCTAAATAACCACTTTATTTTGTGGTTATAACAAAATGAAAGGCTTTGATCCTTACCTTACAGGATAGAAACTCTTCCAATCTTTCCTTGGTGCTTTGCCCTCTCTTTGGCCTCATGAGCATGTAAATCTTCTCCACATCAGGGCAGGATCTGAGGAATTTCTCCACAAGGACCTTCCCCAAAAAGCCTGTGGCGCCCGTGAGGAAGATCGTCTTGTTGGCGTAGAATTCTGCCACAGATTGTGGTGCCATTTTGATCTGTAAATAATTGTAACCTTTAAAAAAAATAAAGAATTGACCTTAAAATTTGTGTAATTACATCCATTTGCCAAGTTTTATTCAAATCGGTTTACAAAAAAGTGGGTGAAATCTAACTGGATTCATCCCTAAATTTGCCACCTTTAGAGACGGAATATCTTCTTCAAATTTAAATGGCACAACTACCGAGGTTCTCTTTTCAACAAAAAAGAATACTGCTGATTTTTTTGTTGAAGCTTCTTGTGAAGGAGTTCGTCTAGGGAAGTACTGAAACCTTACCTATTTCCACCGCTAAGCAGTAATGTCAGCATTACAAATGATATTGACGTGTTCAGCAACACTATGTGGAGACGGTCACCGCCCAAAGCTCTGTGGTCCGAATTCCGCAACTTACCTTTGGCCGGTGATCGACTCAACCTTTATGTGACTACAACTTATAGGGTTAATTAACATAGGTCTCAGGGTGACCAACGCAGAGGCAGTGCCCCTCAGATCTTTGCAATTGAAGGCTCTGAGTGGCACTGTAACTGTTACGGACAGGCGTGTAGCTTACCAACAGGCGCACGACTTGTTCGTCCCGTCACTTGATATTATAAAAAAAAATTCAATACAGAGTACTAAAAAAACCGACCTCAAAAGTACGTGGAATTACGTCTATTTGCTAAGTTTTATTGAAATATCCCCTAGTTCGCCACTATACAGGACTTGACACTGGAGATAATAAAAATAGGTTCTCACTACGACAATACTCAAAGTATATCGAGAGAAAAACGCCTTGAATTGGAGAAATAGCAAAATCAACTAAATGATTACTAAAAGTAATTGCTCCTAAATTAAAGTTAGGCGCTATTTATAAAAATGAATCTTCAAGCGTGAACAGCCACCCTTAGAGGTGGATGATTTCCTTCAAAATGAAATGGGACCACTATGGAAGTACCCCCTTTCCAACAAAAAAAGAATCATGAAAATCGGTTCACAAATACCGGAGTTATCGCGTAACATACATACAAAAAAAAAACAAAAAAAAAGAACATACAGTCGAATTGAGAACCTCCTCCTTTTTTGAAGTCGGTTAAAAACACGCTAACAAACAATGCAGTCGATTATAGAACCTCCTTTCTTTGATGCAGTATTAATTAAAGTAATTTAGTAGTTACAATACCAATGACGAGGACTTTTTGACGAACGATTGCATATCTTAACTTGCATGCCGAGGAAGTAAGGGTGTTCTGTATAATGGAGTACGTAACCGCCTACCTGTTTCTAATGCAAAAGCAACTGGATTCAGGAAATAGAATACTGAAATCCAGGTCAATGGAACGATGATTGGTCACTTGAACTTGAAGATCTAAAGTCACTGTTCGTAACGAATTTAAAATAATAACTATTCTTCCATAATATCGTTAATATGCGGCGACAAAGTTTTAGCTAGACCGTTTGACTCTGCGGCAATGTGAAGAATACAAAAATATATTTATCAATGAATGGATTGCGACCGCAAATTTATTATCGTTTCGTATGGGGGAAAACCATAAGTAGATGATGATCGTAGAAACCGCAAAATTACAAACAAAATTGTTCGTATAAGGTAATTGGACTGGTGATCGAGGCGATTTATGATGCTTTATAAGCAGATAGCCCATTAAAAGGTACTGACGTAGTTTTTTAATAGGATCTCTGTTGTTTCCAAAAATTATACGCATTATAATTTTTGGTATAATTTGTGTGATTATACGGTATTATAAGGTTTCAAATGTAACGTAAATTACGTTGTAGAATGTCAAGAGATTTCGAAGCCGGTAATTAATACCTGTGCCCAGTCTTTTTTTTTATAACTCTTTATTGCACAAAGAAATGATACATGAAACACAAGTTATAAAGGACATATACAAAGGTGAGCTTATCTCTAGAAGAGATCTCTTCCAGCCAACCCTAGTCTAGGTGAAAAATGAAGTCTGCGGGACTAATTATTGTACAATAAAATTAAAATTTAAATGTGAGTAAGAAAAAATTTAATAATATATACATATAAATAATATATATACATATAAAGGATGATAATATATACATATGACAGACATACACACCTACATGAACTTTATATACATAAATACAAACATAAGCAGAATATGTATTATAATCTAAACAAATTACTACTTTATAATATATGTTACCTATTAGCTATCTAACGCGTTCGACGGGTAGTAGAATTTATGTTTGAAAGATGCCACCGATGGACTGTCACGAATGCCAGCAGGCAGTTTATTCCACATACGAGTTGCACTTACCGTGAAAGAGTTGTGGAAGAATTTCGAGTTGGATTGGGGATTTATTAGTGATCTAGTGTCACAGGTACGTTTTGGGCGGGAACTGGGGGATAAGGGAGAAAAACGGGAACACAGATAATGAGGAAGCTGGGCATAATGTAGAATTTTGTAAAGGAGACATAGAACGTGCATATCTCGGCGAAGTCGGATTGGTCGCCATTTCAACTTAATCCGAAATTCAGAGACACGGTCATATTTCCGTAAACCGAATATGAAACGGATTGCCAGATTTTGTAGGCGCTCCAGTTTGTTAAGCAGTCTTCTAATTTTTAACCAACTACAAAATTCTCACAATTCGACAGAATGTTTTTTTTGTATGCATGTTACGCGATAATTTGTGAACCGATTTTGATAATTCTTTTTTTGTTGGAAAGAGGATATCTCAGTAGTGGTCCCATTTAAATTTGAAGAAAGTATTCCATCTCTAAGGGTGTCAAAGTAGGGGATGAATGACTTTTGTTGTTTTTTTATTCTGTGCCGAGAATATTTAGAGGTACGGTCTTTAGTATGGATATTAGCAGTCCTCATGTGTTATTAGTATACGCTATTACCAAAGACGGGAAGATAATAATATTGTTTCCACAAACGTCTGTAAAACAATCTTATTTGAATATAAGCTTATTATAATATTACTCATATTCATTGACTTACAATTATATGGACGTCGGGTCCGCGCTAAAAAGTGTCCGAACTTATAGGGCGTTAAAATCGTATACAGAGCGTCATTCACGCTCTAGTCTTCGTTTGTTCGACTGACAGCGAAGCAAGCAAAATTAGACAGTACTGCGATGACATTACAATTTAAATTCAACGTTTTAGCTTTTTCATATTCCTTGACATGTCACTACGTTTAAATAGGTTGACTTGGGACATTTTTTTCGTGGTTTTTGTATTAGACCCGTCGTCCATTTATTTGTAAGTCAATGCTCATATTCGTACCATGATGAACCTGACCAAGTAATGTATTATTGCTAAAGTGACTGAAAGAACGAATGATTACCCAATATTGTCTATTCCTTACTAAAAATAGGAAAGAGATAACGCTATGTGAACTATATAATGCCATCTGTTTCTATTTTAATGTTCCGAATCGTCTTATCTTAGTATAATGTTATTTACATTCAGAGAATTTTAACTGTTAAAAAAAGAAAGGTATAGTAAAATCTATTAAAATTACGTTGTTTTCTCTTAGAATAATAACGCATAGAATGATAGTTTCGTATCAAACGAACTGTCACAAGTGAGGTAAAAATCAAATTCATGTAGGCTAGTTTTAGTAGTAGGTTAATTTTCG